CTGTAGCATGAAAGCAATGTGTAGTCAATGACCATGGCTGTTCCCCAATAAAATTGGGGAAAAAAGAAGATTTTAAAAAATAAGAAATAAAAGAATAAAGTAGGGAGGAGGCCAAAGAAATGGTGAGGGAGTCCTTCCTGAGAAAGGTAGTATTTGAGCAAAGACCTAAGGAGGTGAGGGTGGAAGCCATTTGGATATACTGGGAGAGAGCATTCCATGCAAAAGAACCAGCCAGTGCAGAGGTGGGTGGGCCTGGTGTGTTCTGGAACAGCGAGGAAGCCAGTGCGGTTAAAGTTGAGTGAGCAAGAGGGGGAGAATTGGTGAGGGAAGTGATTCAGAGAGGCCAAAGGCCTTTGTCAAGGTCACACTACTAATAGACAGCAAATCTGCGATGTGAACAGGGTCTGTATGGCCTCAGACCTCCAGCTCTAACCGTAACACCATTTTGCCTTGCAAATAACCCAGTGGCAATTCCCATGTATTGATCATTTACTTTGTGCTAATCCTATGCTCACATGTTACAGGCATTATTTCATCTTACGTGTGGCAGCACAGAGGCTCCAAGAGCCAAAGGAACTGGTGGGGGCACCACTGAAGGCAGGTCTGTGTGAATTTTAAGTCCACGCGCTTCCTTGCTGTTGCTACACTGACATATATAGCTACAGAGTCCTTAAATGATGAACTTCAGCATTTTAGGATCTTGGGGCCAAGATTGACATGGCTATAATGTTGGTAAAATAGCTAAGTGCTTCCCAGGCTGGTTGGTAAATAGCCGTTGCCCTGAGGATCTCCCCGTACTGCTCCTGCGTGGCTTGATCCACGCCAGTACCCCCAGACCTCCCCAGGATCCAGCACTTAAAGGGTTAACACGAGGCTCAGCAAGGGGCCTCTCCACCCTGCTCCTGCCATGTATCAGGTGTCTGTTCTTATTGTGCATATCACCCCTTGTAATATCTTGTAATATCACCCCTTGTAATATCACACTTGTAATATATAAGCACACTTGTAATATCACCCCTCCTTGGGACTATAATTGACATTTCTGGGAGGAGGCGGGACCTTCAGCTCAGAGATTAACGGTCAAATTAATTGAACAAAGGTATAGATAAAGAGGCCAAAGCCAGGGGCTGTGTTCTCAGCTGACATTCCGGAGGCAGACCTCATTTGAACCTGTCCGTAGAGGCAAATACACACCCTGAGCAACAAGCCTTTAATCACCAGAAGAATTCCTTTTAGAACTAAGCCCTAAGGTCAGGCCAATGTGCCCCTGTCCAGTATTACATGGGGCCTGCTGGTCTCCACTGTGTTGTCTACCAAAATACTGCAGCTATTGGTCCATTCCTTTCAAGGAAAGGAAGGACCTGGGCTCCTGTCCTGCTTCATCTGGCTGACCTTGGTCAACACACTCCCCTCTGAAGTTCTCCTGTTTTATTGAGGCAGAGGCTGCTAATAGACACCAATACCCAGCTGCTCTCCTTCTCTCAGACCCACAGCTAGACATTTCCCAGCCTCCCTTGCAGTTAAATATGGTCATGTGGCCGAGTTCTGGCCAATGCAATGTGAGCAGAAGCAGTGTTCTCTGCCTTTTCCTGGCCTGGTCCCCACAAACCTCCTACATGCATTCTTATTCTTTCTCCCTCCCAGCTGCTGATTTATTAGCAAGGGTTCTGTGAACCTAGAGGAAGCTGGAGCCAGAAGATGGAAGTGTGAGGTTTTAGAGACCCTAACCTTTAGATACAGCCATGCCTGCAATGACAGACAAGGATAGATGGAGCTGGCCTGCAGGCTGTCAGCATTTTTTCCATTCAAACAACACCTCCCTGTCAGCCCTACCCCTATATAGTCCTTCTCACACCCTCCCTTGGGGCTGCAGCGTCTTGGCTTAGCCTAGTTTGTTATTTTGACAATAAAGTCTTCTTACCTTGCCTGACCATGCTCGTTCTTTTATTGGCAAACCTATCAGGAAGGAGCCGGGGTCTCTGAATGATCACATGAAAGTCCATTCACCAACTATAGATACACCTAATTCGACTTTACATAAGTGAAAAATAAACTTTTACTGAGTTAAGTCAATGAGCTTTTGGACTCTATTTGTTACAGCAATCTAGTGTTACGTCTCCTAACTAATTGGATAGTGTCAGGAATTTGGGGAAATTACCTCACCATTCTGAGTCTGTTTCCTCATCTTTAAAAAGGGAGTCTTGGGCCGGCCGAGTGGCGCGATGGTTAAGAACTGGCTTGGGACGCCAGAGGGCCCCGGTTCGGATCCCACATATGAGGGCCAGTGACACTGCCCTCCACAGCTAAGATGCTGAACAACAGCTCAACCTGGAGATGGGCTGCCGTGAGTCGCTGGCGACGGCGCAGGCTGCAGCCCCTGTGGCAGTGGGTTGCCATGGCTACCGTATGTAGCCAGCAGCCAGCAGCCAGCAGCCAGCGTGAGCGGCCAGCAGCCGCAGTGAGCGGCCGTCCAGAAGCCGGCGACTGATCTGCCTCGCCCGGGAAGAGCGCAATGATGGTGCCAACTTGGGCCAGTGAAGCAGCGTCCTCCACAACTAGATTGAAGAACAAAACGACAGCAACTTGTCTGTTCCCCTTCCCCCAATTCCCCATCACTGTTCCCATCCCCCCAATTACCCAATAAAAATCTAAAAAAAAAATAAATAAAAGCGACACTGAGTAACAGTCCAGTTTAAAAAAAAAAATAAAATAAAATAAAAAGGGAGTCTTGATATCCATGGGTTCTTGAGAAGATTAAGTGAGATGATAGATGTAACATTTCTGGGACATAGACACTTCAGTTCAATATATGCTTACTGTGCCCATCATTCTCCTTCCTTCTTCTTCTAATATGCTCACATGAAAGGCTACTGAAAGGAGGGACTACCATAAAGGGAGCTCTCATAGGAGTCAGGATGTAGTGCTCCATGGGTGGGCAGGAGACTGTGAAGGCAGAGGCATGGCTGAAGTGGCTTCTGGGGGATTCCATATCTGATGCCGAGAAATTGAAATATATGTCCTGGGCCTAAATGAACAGATCCTACACAACCTCAAAATAGCAGGCATCTCCCAAACAGTAGATCTTCTAAGAGTCTGGAAAATTAGCAACCTGGCTCCAGAAGGAACCTCTACATTCCAGAAGAATCAGCAGGAGGAAAAACCAGCAGGCATGAAAATGGGTAATATTAGGGGTTTGATGAGGACCATGGGTGACCTAGAAAAAAGATATCATGTGGAGAATGTAAAGGTGAAATTCAGGGGCTCAATAACGCAGTTAAACTTAGCTAGTTTGCAGTTTGACTCACCGCATAGCTCGCTATCTAGGCACCTGTAATTAGACTTAGTTTGTTTGCAATTTGATCCATCCTGATATTCATCTATTTTCTCCCGTCACTGATTAACTAAAGAACTCTGTTCCCTTTTCAAGGCTACCCATGCCTCATTATAACAACATCCTAACCTGGAAAAGAGTAGTTTCTTAATCCTCAGGTGACTGGACACTGGAATCCAATTTACAACTCTTGCAGTTTTTACTGGTGATGCATCAAGTCTCAGGCCTTGATGGTTGAGTCCAAGTCCGGGGTCTGGAGATAACATCATCTTCAAACAGACCAGGCCCCAGGAAGGATGTCAGCCCTCAAACCTGCCTGACTGACTCCCCCTTTCCTATATAAGAAAAAGCTAACCTGAAGTTAGGTGCAGCTGTCCACTCTCAGACTCCGGACTCTGCCCCGGTGACACCCCACCCCCACCCTCTGCTGATGTTTCCGTCCTTACTACTCCAGGAAGCCATCATCTTCGGACACTGCCATGAGCATTCTCTCTCTTCCTAACTTTATTGAAACCTTTTCTCACTCTCCCACTTCGTAGAGTCTGTGAATGCTTTCACCTTTTGTGAACGACCAGGGGTTAATTCCACGCCATGACAGAGAAGACATGGGAGAAGGAGCTGGAGCTAAGGTCAGAGGATAAAAGTCTTCAATGTCAGGCTTCAAAGTGGATGTTATCCTAAGGATGATGGAGAGCCATGGAGAAGTTTAAGCAGGGAGTGACATGGTCTAGCTATACTTTCAAAAATTCGCTGTGGATGGGATCAATAGATGGTAATACACATGACTCTGCCAGGAAGCAGATTTTCCACCCATTGTCCACTGGGAATTGGGAAGGCAGAAAGGGACCAATTAAGAAACATGAGCTCAGTAAAAATCCATCCCTTTTGAAGGCCAGGGGATGGTGATACCCTGAGGAGGAGGAAGAAAGTGTGGATAGGGACACTGGTTGGGCAGTCTATTGTTATCCCCTGAACAAAGACAGTTACCACCCCTGAACAGGTAATTGCCACTGCATTAGAGGCCTATTGTGGCTCAGGAAGAACTGCATGGGGTCCCCAGAATCTGGGAAGAAGAGAATATGAATGCATGCCATGTTGGGAGGGAGGGATCCCTTTGGATGACTGAGTAGTAGCTTGTGTCCTGTCTTGCCCACATAACCTGGAGAACCGGGTGGTTTAGGAGGGGAAAGGAGTTTCCTACATAGCCACCTGTTGTTTTGCACGTGAGAATCACTGTTTTAAAGAAACCATTTGGTGTTATAGCCCTGACACCCACCTTCTTGAAGCACAGTGATGGTGGTGATTGTGGGAGAGGAAATCTGATAAGTAACTTTTCTTTGTAAGTAGGCAAAGGTTTATGGGGGTGAGAAATATGATGGTAGATACAATGTGAGGTGTGTTCCATTTGCCTTCCAGATCCACTCTCCACCCTTCTCCACCTGCTCTGGGCCCCGGAAGGCTGGCCTGTATGGACAGTCTCAGATTCCAGTTGGGTCTAGCTAATAAGGAACTACAACAGAAAATTAGAGGGAAATAGGCAGGAGAGGAAGGATTGGGTCTATGAGCTTGATTCATATATGGAAACCCTAACCCCTAATATCTCATAATGTGACTGCATATGGAAACCCTAACCCCTAATATCTCATAATGTGACTGCTTGTATTTGCAGAATGGAGCCTTTAAACAGATAATTAAGCTAAAATGAGGCCAATGTGGTGAGCCCTGATCCAATCTAACTGGTATCCTTATGTGAAGAGGATGTTTGGATACAGAGAGAGACACCAGGTGTGTGCATCCACAGAGGAATGACCACGTGGACACAGCAAGAAGGCGGCCAAAGACAGAAGCCACAGAAGAAACCTATCCTGCCCAACACCTTGATTTTGGACTTCTATTAATAGCCGCCAGAACTGTGAGAAAATACGTTTCTGTTCAAGCCTGTATCAGTCTGTGGTATTTTGTTATGGAAACAATAGCAAATTAATACCATTGGGTAATTTTTTCCCTAGCTCTCTCCTTGATGGTTGTCAAGGGCTGGCCTTTTCTAAACAGACCCTCCCTTTCACATGCAACCCTTGCACTTTCACGGGTAGGCCTACTAACAGCTCTCTGATGCTATCAGCCCTCAGGTACTGTACAACTTTTGTTGCTTCTTCTCAACCTTGTTCTCACCTTTGTTACAGTTTCATTATTAAACTCTTTTCAACTACCTAGGTGGAGGGTGCCACTGTTTCCCCGCAAGAACCATAAGACAAATAGTAACTAAGATTTTGCTTCCATTCTATTTCTTCCTGTGTCCTTAGCTCTTTGCCTATTAGTGCTGTCTACTGAAAAATAATTTCTACCAGGTATTTCGAAAAAGGGTTTATTCGAGAAAAGAAAAGGCTTGCAAGTCAGCACATGCCAGCCTGGCAAGCCACATGCACGTGCTGAGCTGCGTGCCAAGATGGAGGGGCATATAAGGAATGGAAAAGGAAGTTAGAACCATAGAGCTTTATTATAAATATAGACTTTTTCCTGTAGGGCCCTAGCTCGTCCCATAGGCCCTCCTGCCTGACTATGTTTACTTAAAGTTCCAGTTGTTCTTTATCAGACCAGTAAGGATATTTTGCAATTCCTGCTTTGTAGAAGAGATGACACAGTAGAAAACAGAAAAGGGAAGTCATTCTTTGCTTTTGAGTTTCCAAAATCTAGCCCACAGTAGTAAAGAAATCATTCAGGTGGGAAGAATAGATATGGGAGAATACAATCAACTGTGATCCCTAAGTTGATAGAGATTTTCTGGCTTTGACGTGAGGAGAGAAATGAGTGGAAGAATGTTGTGCATCTCTGAAAAGGGAGACTCTCTTCCCCATGCCATTTTGGACCCGGATGGTTCTGGGGAGGACAGAACTGGACCCACATTGGTCAGGACGCTGGAGGTGCCTCTGGCAGACCCCACTGGCCTGCGATAGGCCTCTCGTTAGAGGAACTCTGGTTTGGCCAGGAGAGTAGGGAGATCTTAAAACCTAATTCTGATTCAGAAATTCTGATGCAGAGATAACATGATTATCAAGTAAAGCCCAAGGCAATGGCAAGACAAAATGACTAACTGGGTTAGAGGTTGACTTGTGGCACCCTCAAAAATTCAGACATCAAAGATCTTATCCCCCAGTATCTCCAAATGTGAACTTATTTGGAAATAGGTCCTTTGCAAATGTAATTAGTTAAGATGAGGTGACACTGGAATAAGGTGGGCCCTAATCTAACATGACTGGTGTCCTTACAAAAAGGAGAAATTTGGACTCCAAGACATACACAGGAGAAGCCATGTGAAGACGAAGGTGACCTGAAGGCACCGTTATGAGTCATGAAAATACCTGGTGACCAAATACAAAGGTCGACGCAACAGTGACTTGGCCTTGGCTTGGACTTTTATCCCCAGAGCGGAGGGTGAGAGGGGGCACAATCCGGCCCGCATTTTGATGAGAAGGCTGTGGCTGCCGAGAGGAGGGGGCATCACCCCAACCTCCAACCTCTGCCCTCCTCTTCACATAACATCCTCCTTGTGTGTATACCTCTGTGTCCAAAGTTCCCCTTTTTAAAAAGACACATATTGCATTACAGCCCAATTAATAACATCATCTTAACTCGATTATCTGCGAAGACCCTATTTCCAAATGAGGTCACATCACAGATACTGGGGGTTAGGATCTCAACATCTCTTGTGGGGACACAAGTCAGTCCATAGCAGTGGTGGGGATACAGAGAAGTGGACACAGCTGGAAGATATTTTGGAGATAGAATTGACAGGATGTATTGTCTGGTGCCTGAAGGGGCCAGGACTCAGATATCTCAAAACATCATCTGACGACAGGTCAGTAAATATTCTGAGAAAATGAAAAATTGACATTCTGAAGGCCAGGCCTTGCTTCAGCTACTGAGCTGGAGCATGGTCACTCAATGAATGCTGACCCTGGTTGCACCTCAGGACCTAACTAAGCTGATGACCCCACACTGATCCTGAACACAGCCTGGCCATGAAATGCATCTCAGGGAGACAGGGTGCCAAGAGCAGAGAGCATGAAACATGAAACTGTGTGTTGTGTTTGGTTAGAGGTAAGAAGGGAAAGTGTTTAGGTCAGGGGGTCCATCAGGGGCAATTGTGGAAAATGTACCTAGAGGGGTCCCTTGGGCTGTTAGCAAGATCTTTAATGTCCCACTGATAAGTTTTGACTTTTTTTCTTAGGGTCTTTGGGAACCATGGAGAATTTTAAGCAGGGAGAGTCACAATCAGATTTGTGCTTTAGAAAACTCACTCCGGTTTGCAGACAGGATTAGAAAGCGGGTAAGACTGGGTGTAGGAGTATGGAAGAGGAAGGAGGCTACAATGGCTCCTAGTGTGATAGTCAGGGTAGCTTAACTAGGAAAGAACCCCAAAATCTCAGTGACTTAGAGCAACAACAAATTCTCATTTACAACTCATTTGGTTGAGGGTTTGATGGGTCTTCCCTAGTGGTGACTTAAGGACACAGGATTTTGGTTTGCTTTTTATTTTTCCATGTTGTGGCTCTTTTAGCTTGCTGATAAAAAGAGAGCAGAGGATTTCCCCCCAGATGCATGATCACTTGGACCCAGAAGTGACATGTATCACTTTGTTACCGAACACAAGGGGTTCACCGCCTAGGGTGCTCTATTCAAGAAGGAGACATGGTTGCCTTAGGTAGTTTTATTTACTTGCAGCAAGTAAAGGAGACAGAGAGTCCACATCCGAAGCTCTGTCTTTCTGCAGGGAGGCTTAGCCATTGCTTATATACACTGTTGGTTAATTACATGTTGATTTCTTCTTTGCAGCTGGCTAAACTCATCCCTGTTAGGTTCCTGTCAAGTTTATCCTGTTTACAGCTGCAAAATATTGTGCTACATTGTAACATTCAGCAAGAATAGCATTTAGTAAGACTCCAGACCTTGAGACCTCTGCCCTATCTAACAACTTCTGCTCTCATTTTTGTGGTGAGAACTGACCGCGTGGTCTCATCTAATATTAAATAGACAGCCACTTCCGAGTCACAACTCTGGAAGTAACAACTCTGGAAAGCAGGACACAAATTCTTGGTGACCAGCTCACTATGGCGGCCAGAGCAGGGTGGTGGTCATGGAGATTCAATAGTCAGAGTTCGCCTATTAACTTAACAAATAACGATTGAGTTAATATGTTGCAGGCACTGTTCTAAGAACTTAGAACTCAACCAGGAACCAAAGTTCCTGGATGTTTGTGAAGACTGGTAATAAATGGACCTTGGATGTTTGTGAAGACTGATAATAAACACACAAGTACTATTTCTCTTTCAATTGCAAATAAAAGAAACTCACCTCAAACTAGTTAAGAAAACAACAAGGAAACAAAGGGGCAGTATTTATTAGCACCCAGAATTGGGTATTCCATTAGTCTATCTGGCTTCAGTAACAATCTCTCTCTCTCTCTCTCTCTCTCTCTCTCTCTCTCTCTCTCTCTCTCTCTCTCTCTCCTCTCTTTCTCTGCCTCCCTCTCTCTCCCCTGCTCCTTCCTCTTCTTCCTCTGCTGTTTCCCTCCCACCACCACCACTGTGTTATGGCTTTATTCTGCATCACTCTCACTTATTTTTTGGTGGGAAAGCCCCATTGACAGCCCCAGTTTCACATCAACTTAGGAAAGACTCTGATTGGTTCTGCCTGGGTCACATGCTTATCTTTGGTTCAATCACCATGAGTTTATGATGGTAACAGCCAGAGCTATTTACTCACCTTTGAGAATGGTGGGAGGGGCAAGACAGTGTGATTGACAGCCCATCCAGGACCAGTTGTCGTGGAAGAAGTTCTCCAAATCAGGTAAGGCAGGAAGTGAACAGGTGCTTGGATAACAATAAACAGTAGATCCCTCAGTCCTGGTCCACTATAGTCCATGTTTTAGAAGACCTGAATTGAGACACACTCACTTGTTCCTATAGCTCAGAAATGCCCCCCACTCAACACAAAAGCAACTCTCCCACAAACGACCAAAAATTCATTTACCCTCCTTCCCTAAATAAAGTTAAATTCCAATGTCAATGTCTATTTAAGGAACTCCAAGTGAGAGGTGTGAGATATATGGTACAGTGAGGTATCAGCCAGAGATGTCCAAAATCTACAGCCAAGTGACCATTTAAACCTGTGGAGTTTGCTGATTGCCTACACCACACATATTTCCATTCTCTTTCTTCTGACTGTAAGGGCCTGTGTCCCACAAAAAGAGTTTGGAAATACCCATTTCCCCAGCATTCTTTGTGGCTAAGGGTATCCTATCCATGTGTCAAAGTTTTGGTCAATGAGACAGAAGAATTCTTGCTATGGTGTTCTAAAAAAAGATTATTCTCCCTTAATTAAAAAAGAGTGGAACATAAGGTCAGTTCTCATAAAGTACAGGCTGTTCTCTGCTTTCTTTCTCTGGAGACAGTCATGCAAGAACATGATTCCTGGAGCAGTGGCAGCCGTCTATGATCATAACACCACTGCATGATCTGAGGACACTGGGAACAGATAACATGCACACCAGGCTCAAGTGATTACAGCCTTTACTTAGAGCAAAAGAGGAAAGAGTGCAGAAGATCCAGTCCCTTGCAATGTGTCAGTCCCCATGACCAGCGGGTCCACGCCACAGCCAAAGCCGGCAATGTAACTGCACACACCGCACTTCATGCTACTGTGGAAGGACCCAGACCCTTCCCCCATGGAGTCTGAAATTCAGAAATCTGGGGAGAGCCTGAGGGCCATGGACACATGCCTTTCAACCAAACAAGAGAGTACTCTGAGTCTGAGACAAGAAAAGATATTCTCTCACAAGGTAATATGCCCAGCACAGGCTGTGAGGGTTCCTGATCTCTTAATAAGGAAGTGATCCAGGCCCAAGGCACATTC